ACTTACTGGGAATTATTTACACTGTTTGGTGCTCCAGTGAATCCTAAAGTAAGTTCTCGATCAAGTGTCTAATGGCGCATTTCCACTGCAGGGCCTTGCACGGCTTAGTACGGTATAGTTAGGCCTTGGTAGGACTGGCTCACTTTATGCTGCGTTTCCATTACAGTTTAGGAACTGGGGCAGTAACTATAGTAACGCAGTGTAGGCGGAGCCGTGACGTCATCTTCAATGCGAACCACAAAACCAACATCAGCCGTTAGCTGTTAGCACTCAGAGCTCACAGCTCCTCATATCTGTTCAGAAACTAGACAAAAGTGAAACAAGTACAAACCACAGACTGCCTGTGTCATGGCGAATACAGTCGCTGCTTTATTTATGTCTGTATAGGCCGTTGTTGTCAGTGTGGACGGTCGGAGCATATACTGCGTTAGCTTAGCCAATCTCCATTTAGAAAACACGCATTTTAAAAGGTTTTCCCCTGCCGTCTGTCTGCAGACTTGTCAAAGCATTAATTCATGGTTTTTACTAACCGGTATCAGTATGTTGTTACTTCGGCATCATTTTGAAACGTGTATTACAATTAAATCACTGCAACATATGTTCATTTTGTTGTAGTTGCCAGCGATTCTCTCACTAGTTTAGCATACTTAGCCCGGTTGTTGGCCCGGAAAGAACCTCGATTTTGGAGAGCCAGAAAACTGTGAAAAAGTACCCGCTAGCCGGAACTACGCCTAGTGGAAACACAACCAAAAACGGGCCGGGCACGGCACGCTTAAACCGCGCTGTAGTGGAAATGCGCCATTAGTTGCCATTTGTTATATTTGTTTATTTTGTAGCACTTTTGCATTGTGTGTTTTCCTTGTTTTGTTGTCAAAGTAGTGTCACATGTCACAAAACCCCCTTTAAACTCTAACTGACCCCACTGTCTAAACTCAGCGTAGTGGGCAAACATCTCAATGGAGTTGTTCATGTTGTTCAGGCCCTTCTCTTATCAACAGTCAACACTGGTTAGATATTTTAACAATGAACACAATCGCCTTCTAACCTCAGCTTAATAAAATAAGATAAGAAATGCTTTATTGTCCCTGAAAGGCAAATCATCCTGGGCATGTTGCTCTACTAAGTTGTAATGGTCCACTGATAACGCAAATATGGAATCATATAAAAATATATACACTTGTGAAATAGTGACACGCCAAAGCAAACTTTCTTTTTTATATAAGTATCCTTCCACATAACAATTGAGACTATGACACCCCTCTGTTTCAGCCCTGTTTCCAAAGTGCTGATTCTCTGTCTGTTACTTTAGATGAAAATAAGGAGCCCCTCCCCACGCCCCTCTGAGAGAGATTTGGTTAAAAAGAACACAATGGTGGGGGGGGGGGGGGGGGGGGTACCTTGGTTGGCGATTGGCTAATGGTTACACAAGCCAAACAATCGTTATGAGTCTGACATCATAAAGTGGCCAAAATCTGATCAGCTCATTTTCAGACAGGTTTCTATATAAATGGATCAGGACAAAAAGAGAGAGAATCTTTGTTCCTGAAACTTTCAGAGTCTCTTTCCACAGAGGGGACACATGTTGATGTAGAAGAGACATGAAGAAGAGGGGACACATGGTGATGTAGAAGAGACATGAAGAAGAGGGGACACATGTTGATGTAGAAGAGACATGAAGAAGAGGGGACACATGGTGATGTAGAAGAGACATGAAGAAGAGGGGACACATGTTGATGTAGAAGAGACATGAAGAAGAGGGAACACATGTTGATGTAGAGAGACATGAAGAAGAGGGGACACATGTTGATGTAGAAGAGACATGAAGAAGAGGGGACACATGTTGATGTAGAGAGACATGAAGAAGAGGGGACACATGTTGATGTAGAAGAGACATGAAGAAGAGGGGACACATGTTGATGTAGAAGAGACATGAAGAAGAGGGGACACATGTTGATGTAGAAGAGACATGAAGAAGAGGGGACACATGTTGATGTAGAAGAGACATGAAGAAGAGGGGACACATGTTGATGTAGAAGAGACATGAAGAAGAGGGGACACATGTTGATGTAGAGAGACATGAGAAGAGGGGACACATGTTGATGTAGAAGAGACATGGAGAAGAGGGGACACATGTTGATGAAGAAGAGACATGAAGAAGAGGGGACACATGTTGATGTAGAAGAGACATGAAGAAGAGGGGACACATGTTGATGTAGAAGAGACATGAAGAAGAGGGGGACACATGTTGATGTAGAAGAGACATGAAGAAGAGGGGACACATGTTGATGAAGAAGAGACATGAAGAAGAGGGGACACATGTTGATGTAGAAGAGACATGAAGAAGAGGGGACACATGTTGATGTAGAAGAGACATGAAGAAGAGGGGACACATGTTGATGTAGAAGAGACATGAAGAAGAGGGGGACACATGTTGATGTAGAAGAGACATGAAGAAGAGGGGACACATGTTGATGTAGAAGAGACATGAAGAAGAGGGGACACATGTTGATGTAGAAGAGACATGAAGAAGAGGGGACACATGTTGATGTAGAAGAGACATGAAGAAGAGGGGACACATGTTGATGTAGAAGAGACATGAAGAAGAGGGGACACATGTTGATGTAGAGAGACATGAAGAAGAGGGGACACATGTTGATGTAGAAGAGACATGAAGAAGAGGGGACACATGTTGATGTAGAAGAGACATGAAGAAGAGGGGACACATGTTGATGTAGAAGAGACATGAAGAAGAGGGGACACATGTTGATGTAGAAGAGACATGAAGAAGAGGGGACACATGTTGATGTAGAAGAGACATGAAGAAGAGGGGACACATGTTGATGTAGAAGAGACATGAAGAAGAGGGGACACATGTTGATGTAGAAGAGACGTGAAGAAGAGGGGACACATGTTGATGTAGAAGAGACATGAAGAAGAGGGGACACATGCTGATGTAGAAGAGACATGATGAAGAGGGGACACATGTTGATGTAGAAGAGACATGAACAAGTGGATTTTGCATAATAGGTGACCCTTAAATGTTTTATCTGGCTTGAGTGAACTCACCCCCTGGCGCTGGCAGACGTCGAGCACCATCAGGACGTTTTGACACACGTGATCCACTGCGGCGTTCCCGAACACGCAGGTGAGCGCCAGGACGTCGATGTTCGGAGCGGCGAGCGCCATCATGACGGCCTGAGCATCGTCGATCCCACAGTCCGTGTCGATGATCACCTGCTTCCTGTCCGCCATGGTGTCCTGGAAACAAACATAATAAATCTGATTAAATCACAGCATTGGCGGTACTAGATTGGATCAGGGGGGCCATTTGGGGGACGAAAGAGACAAAGACAGTGTTGAAGATTTCAATTTTTTGTTAGGTATAAAGTCATAGCGCACAAAATAAACAAAAACATAATTGGTATTTGTTTCAGTTACAAAGTTTGTGTTAGTATCTTAGTTAAAATGTCATTACAGAAGCGGCAGTGGCTCAGTCTGTAGGGACTGGAACCAAATGGTCGCTGAGTGTGTACAGCTGGAGAGGAGCCGGTCCACGTCCTGGCGCTGGTCAGACTGGCAGCCTATCTGCTCTGGCCAGGGTTCATACACTTTTTCACCAATGATTTTCAATGACTTCTCCATGACCTTTACATCATTTTCCATGTGTGCTGTGTGTGTATTAAACTATGTATAAACGTGGATACAAGTGGAAAACTGAATTTCCTCCTAGGGGGATTAATACAGGTTAATCTTGATCTTCTAATTACTATTTTAAAAGATAAATGTTTTCATAGACTCTTCTTTTGGAGGGGGGCCACAGGGGGTCAAAGCTCAGTGTTACAGGCGCACTGGACCCTGTAAGCCAAGTAACTTATCAGCAGTTCAGACGACTGCAACACGGTAATACAAGATTATGAGTTTCTTTTGATTGCTAATAATAAGATTGCAAACAAATGTAATACAAAAAGTAATTGTATAAATGGAAATAATCCACTGGGAAACTTTCATTGGGATATCTAGTAGTTACATTTTCTACCTATTCACCCGTAGTTTGTACACAATCTGTGAATTTCTCTCACTTTGGGAGCACTTACACACACCAAACTTTCCCGTGTAATTCCTATTTATATTCTTATGCTTATCACAGAGGGCTTAAAGTTCTTAAAACTGAATTTGGGGCGTGGCTCTATCCAATGTTGACATTTCTGCTCAGGAAATGTATGCAAACCAGGGCATATTTAATAAGAAAAAGCATACAACACATATGTTTTCAGAACACTTGTAATACAAAAAACAATTGTGTTGATGTCAGTAATCACTTGGGAAGTTTTATGGTGATATCTATTAGTAATTAGTTTTACACTTCTTATCTGTAACTTCTCTCCTTAACACTACAGGTGGTAAAAGCTTTGAAAACATGCAGGAAACATACATATTATAGTGAGATATGTCTTCTATAACTAACCTACTAACAACTTCCTCCAGTGTCTTCATACAAAAATCTGTGCAGATAGTTGTGTAATTTATTTTCGTTGTTTTCACACCCAGTAAACTACAGACAACTGGATTAATACACAAACCACATTTTCATTTACCAAGTAGTCAGGAAGTGTGTGTTCGACTTACTATTAAATAAGTTGAAGAAGTTATTGTAAAATTATTGTCTTTTTAAAAGATTGTTCAGACTTACCTTCTGTCTGTAAAATGAGGTTTACAGAGACACTGAAAAGCGCTTTTGTGATTGGTTTAAACTGTTGGGTCATTACATGTTTCACTAACACGAGATGCAGCCAGCATTCATAAAAGTGACAAAATGGATATTTAAAATATATTTAATGTTATAGAATAATATACACTAATCAGTAAGTTACTACAGTTCCGATTGCGTATGACTACATATTTTACTTTTTTTTTTTAAACGTTGTTATCAATCTTTAACTATTTCTGAACACCCCTGTGTCCTCTCAGAATGGTTCAGTCCTGTAAAGCTGCACCGGAAGCAGAGGTTTCGGCTCAGCATGGAGGCCGTGTCGGATTTGTTATTATCGTTTATTGTTTATCTTGTGTTAAGCTAATGTGTACCTGTAGTTAAGGATGTGTGGGTGACATGTTAAAGATTTAAACCTCAGTTTGGGCCTAAAACAAGAGGAGATGTGAGGATAGATAGTGATGAAATAGCAGCTGGGCGTGTTTACAGTACAGCTGTTAGTGTTTAGGCTCAGGTGAGTTACTGTCTATCTGCAGGAGGATGAGTAATAGTTATTAGAGGATGCTGTGTAATGTGGCTGTGGGTTATGTTATGCTGCTTTGTTCAGGCAAATACAAGATGTGCTTCTGAATCAAATTAGACAGTAAAGAAACACACTTATTAGACAACACTTACAGTACATTGATTTAATTTGGTGTTATGACCTAACAACACCGTTATTTTTACTATTCTTTTTGTTGTTGCATGGACAGAATATGAGACATGCAAAATGCTTTACTTAGAAGCAAGATACACTGACTATAAGCCTCTATTTGTTGTTTATTTTTATGTCAATGTGTGGTCATTGTATGTCTTGTTGTAATTGCTTCGTGTCTTTGTAGTCATTTTGTGTATTATTTAGCTAATTGTGTGTCTCTCGGTAGTCATTTTGTGTCTCTTGGTTGTCTTATCTTCTCATCCCCAGAAAACCCATCCATCCCTTCTCCATCACCAATCACCCGTGGCGTTTCGATGCCTAACGCCTCAGAAGGTCAGGGGTCAAACCTCCCCGGGCCCTCGGACCCCCCCTCTGTGCTTCAGAGGCCCCCGGACACAGAGGACGAGAAGAACCGCAGCCTGATGATGGCAAGGGAAGCTGCGAGAGTTCGGAGAGCCTCCAGCGCCGAAATAACCCACCTCCCCTGGACCTGCCCCGTCACTCACTCCAGGGAGAAGTTCTACACCGTGTGCTCCGACTACGCTCTGCTGAACCAGGCGCCGTCCGTGTACCGGCCCGCGGACATCTCCAACGTCTCCATCTCCAACACCTCCAACAACCCCAACACCTCCAACATCTCCATCTCCAACACCTCCAACAACCCCAACATCTCCAACATCTCCAACACCTCCAACACCTCCAACAACCCCAACACCTCCAACATCTCCAACGTCTCCATCTCCAACACCTCCAACACCTCCAACATCTCCAACGTCTCCAACTCCAACCTGCAGGACGGGAAGCCCAAACCTGAAGAGGAGTTCAGCGCCGGCCCCTCGGATGCTGCGGGGTCCGATGGAGACGGAGATGGATACGGAGACGGAGACGGAGACATGGTGGAAGTGTTGTCCAAACCTATCCTGGCCTGGGAGATAGACACCACAGACTTCAACGCTGTGCTCACTAGAAAAATCCGAACAAGTAAGAAGCGTGTTGTTACAGGGTGATGCAGGGTGATGTGTTTTTGTGGTCCAAACCTTAAAGTGGCATCTTCCTGGTTCCCTCGGAAAAAGCTAATGGGATTTTATATCACACAAAATAAGACCTGTGGCAAACAAAGGTTTACGATACTTTCACATTCTGTTTAGCAGGATAATCTCCACATATCAACACCACACTTTATGATATTTAAGGCGTAAATGCAACTGGCAGAAGTAAAAAAACTAAAGTAAGGGTACAAAGGAACTACATGACGTTTAGATTAGACACTTAGAAGGTTATAGTTATATTCAGAACTGACTGAAAAATTGAAAATAATATTTATATATCATTTATTTTGTGCATTATTTTTATAATTTTGCCATCACCTAAAGATGCCACACCTGCTTGAGATATCAGGATATTAAATAATGTGTCTGTTCTTTAACTGTTGAACATTGATTAAGCCTCCCTTTAACTGTTGTGTATTTTTCAGGTAACGTGAAGAAGAGCAGCTCAAAGAAGATGAAGTCCTCAGACAGACAGAGCAGGAACCTGCAGGACGTCGCTCCTCCCGCCTCGCAGGAGGACATCAAACAGAGGAAAGTGCTCGACCTCAGGAGATGGTAAACTTATATTATAATCATTTACATCAGGCTTTAAGAGAGGCAGCAAAAACATGCAACCAAGACACGTCTCAGGATCAACTTTCAAGGTTCAAGGTTCTTTATTTGTCAAACGAACATAGCTACAGTGTAGTTATGTCGATGAACATCTTGTGTCACAGGCTTCTCCAACAGAGCAACACAAAACACAGATGAACAGAAAAATATAGTGCAAGTAAATAGTAAATACAAGAAGAAAATTTAAAAAAAAAAGTGAAATAGTGCAATAAGAGTCTATATGCAAGTCATTGAAATGATATATTAGGTAAATAGATCAATATGTTTTAAGTAGCAGCCAGATGAATGTTATGGATGTTGTTTCAACAGTTCAGGTGTTTAACAGTCTTATTGCCTGTGGGATGAAACTGTCTCTGTGTCTGGTGGTTTTAGTCCGGATGCTTTAGACGGCAGCAGACAGAACAGTTTGTGGCTGGGGTGATGGGGGTCTTTGATAATCCGGAGGGCTTTCTTCCTGAGCCGCTGGGAGTAAAGGTCCTCCATGGATGGCAGCTCCGTCCTGGTGACGTTCTGTGCAGTTTTCACCACCCTCTGTAAAGCCTTACGGTTGAGGGCGGTGCAGCTGCCGTACCAGGCCGTGATGCAGCCAGTCAGGATGCTCTCTATGGTGCACCTGTAGAAGGTCAGGATACTCTCTATGGTGCACCTGTAGAAGGTCAGGATACTCTCTATGGTGCACCTGTAGAAGGTCAGGATACTCTCTATGGTGCACCTGTAGAAGGTCAGGATCCTCTCTCTATGGTGCACCTGTAGAAGGTCAGGATGCTCTCTATGGTGCACCTGTAGAAGGTCAGGATCCTCTCTCTATGGTGCACCTGTAGAAGGTCAGGATACTCTCTATGGTGCACCTGTAGAAGGTCAGGATACTCTCTATGGTGCACCTCTAGAAGGTCAGGATACTCTCTATGGTGCACCAGTAGAAGGTCAGGATCCTCTCTCTATGGTGCACCTCTAGAAGGTCAGGATACTTTCTATGGTGCACCTGTAGAAGGTCAGGA